GATCTCTGTTAGAGAATTTGCTAAAATTCAATTTGATAGGGCAATTATTGTCAGATCATCTGCAATATGCTCAGAATTGTGTTAGAAAAATAGGGAGAAGTTTAAAAGAGGCAAAATTCTCTTACAAACATCACCAAAATGGAGATTGTTCTTAAATAAGGATGATAGATTCTTGAAGCGAGGTCCAGAAGTTGTCTGATAGGCCCTCCAAATCTCTTGGGCTCCTTAAATCTATTAGAGATCAAGGAATTCACTACTTTAATGAACTTAGCAAGAGCTTTACAGTGTATTTTTTAATGTGAACTTTCTCTTGATTTTATATTTGTAATTTTAGTTCTCTTTCTCATCTATTCCTCAGCAATCTGGAAGTACTTGCCTTTCATCTAAAAACTTTAAATTTAAATTCCCTCTGCATAGCTTTGGTGTTAAAAGCTTCACTATATCACCATTTTATTCATTATTATAATCAACTTTTATTATCTTTATATTCAAATTTTCTGTTAAGGGTTTTTTTGTAATCATGTCAATAAAAGTATCAATGGTCACTAATTTTACTATACATTTTGTCCAATATGATTCTAAGTTATCTACACCATAACACTAATTAAATAGCTTGTGCACCAATGCTTAGCATAAAGACAAAGTCTGACAGGGTATGAGATCTTCAGGCTGTTCTTTGCTATTTATTCTGAAGGGGTCCATCTTATCAGTGCATTTTTTCATTAATTCCTTAAATATTTATCGAGTTCATATTATGTGCTAAACATTTTTTTGTAAGTTCCAGGGATATAATGATGAGCCAAACCAAACATGGCCCCTGCCCATATGGAGCTTAATATCTAGTGGGGGGGATTTCTGCCAGTCACAAGAAAGGAAGAGTTTAGGAGGCAGAAATGTGTAGCATTGTCAAAGATGACCTGTAAGATGGAGTTTGAAGTTTTACTCTGTACCCAGAACAGTTGAGCATCCCAAATCCGAAAATCCAAAATCTGAAAAGCTCCAAAATCTGTAACTTTTTGAGTGCCAACATGACACTCAAAGGAAGTACTACTCATTGGAACATTTTGGATTTCAGATTTTTAGATGTGGGATCCTGAACTGGTAATATAATGCAAATATTCCCAAATTCGAAAAAGTCTAAAATTTGAAACACTCGTGATCCCCAGCGTTTCAGATAAGGGATCCTGTATATATTTAACTTTACGGCATCTTTATTTATACTCATTATTCAAAAGAATAAAAACAGACTGCCTTTTCTATCTTAGTCCTTTGATTTTTATAAACAATGAAGACCATCTTGAAAATATTGGTATTTCTAGTGTAATGCAGACCCTTAGCATTTGCTGTCCTGTATTTTAAACAAGTATACCTCAGAAGGACAGAAACTGTGGGAAATGACAAACCTATGTTTACCTCTCAGTCAAGTCAGATCTTTCACGCAGTCTCGCAGGGTACAAATAAAAGTTTGTGTCACAATCACTATCTTCCAGACTGGTCTACTCATAATATCTTGCAGAATGACAGGATCAAGAAAAAGAACAGAGTCTCACAAATGACAGGATATCACCTCAAAGCAATGCCCAAGACAGGGAGTAGAAGGATAGAGAACACTTACTGGTAAGTGGTTGGGCTGACATTGATGCGCCGAGGGTGACTTCCTGACTCGAATTTGCTTGCCAGAGTGACATTATTTCCAAATAGGCAATAACGTGGCATTCTCACCCCAACAACTCCAGCCAGCACAGAGCCCGAGTGAATGCCTATCCTCATCTAAAAAAGAATGAAAAAGGACAAGAACATATTTGTTTCCATTTGGTATGCAATTATATTAACAAAAGGTACTACTAATTACTAAACAATTAAACTATAAGCTTCTCAAAGACAGTAGGTGAGTCTTGGTCATTTTTTTGAGCCTAATATCTGGCCCATTATAGTGCTCAATGAACATAAGTGTTGTGAGATAAATGAATAAATGGATTAACTAAATGAAAAAATCTAAGTTTTAATTTACTACATAAGTCTAATTGTTACAGGTTTAAATCAGGTTTCATTTGTACGTAATATAGTCTAACTGAAAGTGTATTTTTCTCCACTTTTCTCTCCAGTTGTTCTTACATAAAACCCTAGTGCTCAATGAACATAAGTGTTGTGAGATAAATGAATAAATGGATTAACTAAATGAAAAAATCTAAGTTTTAATTTACTATATAAGTCTAATTGTTACAGGTTTAAATCAGGTTTCATTTGTACGTAAGATAGTCTAACTGAAAGTGTATTTTTCTCCACTTTTCTCTCCAGTTGTTCTTACATAAAACCCTATTTCTTCCTTTATAGCATTAAACACAATTATAAATTAAATATTTATATTTCTGTTTATTTTATTTAAATGTTAATTTTCCCATGAAAGAAGAGTATATATGTATTTCCTTACTGCTGAATATTCATCAATTTGTGTAGTACTTAAAGCAAAAAAGGCACTCAACAGTAAGTGATGAATGTGGAATAAATTGCCTGAATTCCCCAACATACTATTAAAATGGAGTTAAAGAGAATTCAACCCTTCAGTCAGTCAATAGGCATTGATTAAAAAATGCTAAAGAGCAAATTAAGTGCTGTATATTTACTCTCTGAGAATCTGATAAACATTAGTCTGGTCCATGCCTTGAAGGAGCCCTCAATGTAAAGCTGATATACACTTAAATGTGATCACAGTAATGAAATTATATCAATATGGTTTATACCAAAGCAACTGGAACTAATGGAGACCAAACGGGTGATGACATCCTTAGTTCTAGGGGAATGCAGAGTATCCCTGAGAAAGAAGGAGAAGCACTGACCCCTAGATGTCTACCAGGTAGGCAAACTGTCACCCCTTCACTCCCATGCCCCCCTTGCCACCATAGTTATATAAGGAAAAGAAGTCACTCTGAGATCAACCCTTGCCACAGGACTAGAGACTTCTGCATGTATCAACTCATTGTAAGATAGATTGAAACTAATGTGACCTAGCTACATAACCTTTTCATCTACTTTTTAAAACTGACTCTAAAATTTATTTGAAAATTCAATATGGTTGGAAGAGTCAAGACATATTTGAGAAAGAAGAAAAATTAGGGTATTTTCCCTATCAGACAGTAAGTCTTAATATAAACATATCTAATTAGTGCATGGATATCATCATTTAGAGAAATAGACTAATGGAACAGATATCCCAGAAGGGCTGCCATGTATATATATATGTGTTAGATACATGAAAAAGTTGGCATTTTAGATTAGTGAGAAAAAGATGGCCTTTCCATTATAATACTCTGGATCAACTCTGTCTTCATGTGGAAAAAAATTTTCAAGTAAATTAAAGACCTTAATGTAAAAGGCACAACTTTACAGCTTTAAAAGTAATTCTACTAATTAACGAAAGGTCAATCTGTGGTATCAGTAAAACTCCCAAATATAAACACTTTAAAAACATAGACTTTTATTTGTCTCTCAATGAACTGTTCCCAGATGAGTGGTCTAGATTATCATGCAGCTCTGTTTCCTGCTGTCATTCAGGGATCAGGCTCTTTCCATTGTGTTTCCCCTCCCTGTCTTGGCACATGTTTGGAGCACCCTCATGTTCTAAGCCATGGGATGTGGGAAGATAGATAGCAAAATTTATCATTTAAAGTGATCTTCATTTCTTTGTACAGATCCAAATTTCCATCTGATACCATTTTCTTTCTGCCCAAAGGACTTCTTTAACATTTTTCATACTGTAAGGCCACTGGTAATGAATTCCTTTAGCTTTTGTATGTTTGAAAAAGTCTTTATTTTGCCTTCATATTTAAAAGACATTTTACTGGGTATAGAATTCTAGGTTGACAGTTTAATTTTTTCCTTTCAGGACCATAAAGATGTTGCCACACTGGCCCCTCCATTGCATTATTTCAGATGAGAAATCACTGTCATGTTTATCCTAATTCCTCCATATGTAACATGGCTTTTTATTTTGGCTGCTTTTAAGTTTTTCTTTTATTGCTAGTTTTAAGTAATTTAGTTATGATTTCCCTTGATGGTGTTCTCCTGTTTCTTGTGCTTTGGCTTTGCTGAACTCTTAGATATGTGGGTTTATAATTTTCATTAAATTTGGTAATTTTCCAGCTATTATTTTTTCAAATATTTTTTCTGTCCACTGCTCCCTTTCAGAGACTCTAATTACATGTATGTTAGGCTGCTTGAATTATTTCTAAAGTTCACTGATAACATATTCATTTAAAACAATCTTCATTTATTTGAGATAATTTCTATTGCTGTCTTCAAATTTACTGATCCTTTCTTTTGCAATCTCTTATCTGTTGTTAATAACAGTGTATTTTTCATTTCAGACATTGTAATTTTCCTCTCTAGAAGTTCAATTTGGGATTTTTTATCTTCCAGGTATCAATCTAACTTTTGAACACATGGAACACAGTGAAAATTACGTTTTAGTGCTCTTGTCTAATGATTCGATCTTCAGTTTCAGCTCTGTGTATATCAGTTTGGATTGATTGAGTTTTTTTCCCTTTATTATGAGTCATTTTTTTTTCAGCTTTTCCTCATGCCTAGTAATTTTTGACTGGATGCCAGATATCATGAATTTGATTTATTGAGTGTTGGCTGTTTTTATATTCTCATAAATATTCTTGAGCTTTGTTCTGGGATTCAGTTAAGTTCCTTGGAAACAGTTTGTTCCTTTTAAATCTGCTTTTAAGATTTGTTAGGAGAGCAGTGTTTCGTGAAGGACTAATTATCCCCCATTACTAATGTAGGAACCACGAGTACCTTCTCCAAGGCCCTTGATTTATGGGGTTTTCGTCTGCCTAATGGAAACAGGCATTTTTTCCCTAGTTCTATCTGAGTGACAGGTACTTTTTACTCTAACTTTTTTTGGTATCTCCCCCTCCCCTGGGGCTCAGGTAGTTTCCTCATATCACATGCACTGATCAGTGCTCTGTACAACACCTGAGAAGGACGCCCGCAAGATACTGGGGGTCTTTGTGCAAATCACTCCTCTCTGGTACTCTATGACCTCTGGCCTTCTTGGTCTCCCCAGACTCCCAGCTCCCTCTCTTTAACTCAAGGAGTCCACTGTGTGCTTCCTGGTTTGCCCCTGCATGGGCCACAGCCTGGATGTCTCTCAAAGCAGTAATCTAGGACAATCATAAGGCTCTTCTCATTTGTTTCCTATCTCTTGGGGATCACTGTCTTCCATTGCTTAGTGCCCGGTGTCATGAAAACTGTTCTTTTGTATATTTTGTCCAGATTTTTTTGATTTTTTTAAGATGGAAGTGTAAATCCAGTCCCTGTACTCCACATTGGCTGGAAACAGAAGTGAGATCTATTTTTCTAAGAAACTATGTCAAAAATGTAAGCCTATTTCTAATGAGGGATTGTCTATTTGGATTTAAAGCAAAACATGATAGGTGGCAACATTCCTTTTAAACAAGATAAGTGTAAAGCACTTTTCTCTAAAATTAGCAAAGCTCTCTGCAATATCATATTTCTTTGGGGTTCTGTTTACTTTAGGAAGGCCTATTTATATCATCACCTTGTGCAACATAGATTTGCCTGAAAAAGACCCAGACCTTAGATGCTACGATTATCATTTTGGGCTTGTGATTGCTATCGTAATCTTTTTAAGCAGGAGGAGAGCAAGAGTGATTATCATCACATTGACACATTTTACAGCCTCTTTTATTTTTGTGCTTTCCATTCAAGAAAAAAGAGTTCATACCCTATACCAACGATATAAAAGGCTTACATAGTTCTACCTCTGCCTCTTTTCAAAAGACCTGAGGCTTTTTTTTAAGCCAAGTTTTCAGAATGAGAATTATTATAACATGACAAACATTCAAGATAAATACCCTGATACCCTTTGGGGGTGTGTAGGGAGGAGTGGTCATAAAAAAAACAATTTTGTCTCTTAGAATGCCATCTAGAAGATGCATAAGAGTATCAACCACCACAAAAATTGCACTGACCACTGTCACTGCCACTACCCTATAATGGAACAGGACTCGGAGAATTATTTAGTTTGGGAAGTAAGGAGATACCGCTAGAAAAACTTACAAGCTGAATCATCAGATTCCATTTTCTTTAGCATTTCTCTTGACAATTTATTAAGATTTCCTAGGAATTGTTGCCTATATAAGGAAGTCACTGATTGCCTCATTCAGAATGTGCCAAGAGCATCTAGCCGTTAGACAAAATAGAGAGATACATTTAACCATCAATGAAAGGTTTAGATTCATTTTGGCAAGATTTAGCTTTATTTAAATGGGTTAACCAAGAAGTAGCATTTGCATCCATCTGGCCAGTATGCTCTCACTAAAGAGGATTTATTTGCACTAAACCAGTGGTTCCCAAATGGGGCCATTTGTGCCCCTCAGTGGACATTTGGCAATGTCTGGAGACAATTTTGATTTTCACAACTGGGAGCGAGAGCTGCTAATGGCATCTACCAGCATCTAGCTACTGGTAGAGCCAGAGATTCCCAAGACAGCTCCCTACCCCTAGCAAAGAATTTTCCAGGCTCAAATATCAATAGTACCAAAATTGAGAAACCTTGCACTAAATAGACCTCTGGCAACCTATTAATATTTAGCAAACCAGCATAAACAAAAATATAAATGCTTTAATCAGATTAAAGCTTGCATGAAACACATTAGACTTTACTGTTAAAAGAAAGTTCATGAAAAAAATAATCGTGTCCCAGGAATTTATTGAAAAACATGATAACTTTAGGATATATC